AAAAAAAAGAGATGAAAAGACTGCATCCATAAAATATTATATTTATCATGTGAATGCTGAATAAGCACATTTGAAATCCAAACACTTAGGTAATATAATTAAATGTAAACAATTAAGTAATGTAATTTGAAATCCATATACTTAAATCATATAATTAGATAAAGAAAAATTGACTAAAAGCTATATATGTAGCACCAAAACACATCTGTTACATGAGTTTGTGCCTATTTGTAATTCAAAAAGGTCTACTTTTGTAGGGAAGGAAAAAAACAAAAGCACTAACCTCTAGAGGTATAGAAACTTTTCAGCTACCAGGAGCTGTTCATGCTCACGGAACATTAAAGCAGGAATGGAATCGTCTAAATCTACCCTCCGTACTTAACAGGTCAAGAAACTGAGGCACACAGGTGAAATAACTTCTCCAAGGTCACATAATCAGGGACAAAGGCAGGCTTCCAAACCAGGTTTTGTAACTCCTGGTGGTAAAGTCTTTTCTATACATTATGCCACCACTCTCATACTATCACCCCTGTGACCATCCATCAACCACCAATCCAGCTGACAACACAGTACCACCATAAATCAATTTGGCTGGCAGAAATAAAATCACTATAAACTAATCTAATGCACTAAATAGTACTTCCCCCTATTAGATATGAGAGACCCCTAAAGGCAATGGCTTTGTCAACTTACTTTAAAACCCCCAAAGCACTCTGTGCGTTGCACAGTTGTCTTTTCATAAATAAATAATTGGGGCTTGAAAGATTTACAACTCGCAAAGGTAAAAATTCCATCCATTGCCTATTTAGGCCTTCCCCAAGAGGAAGCAATCCAACACTTTTTTTCGATCTCTAATATAAAACATTTTTTTCTTTAACTTGGAAAAAAAATGGATTTCTAATGTTGATAAAGGTTTGAATTTATCTTGGTATTTAATTTAGAAAGAAATAAAACTTACTTGTAAATGTATATCCTCATTGCTTTTGGATTGAATGTTAAAAGAATTTTCTTTTAATGTAAGAGAAGATGGTTTACTGCTATCAACTTGGCATCTTAACCTGTGAAAATTTTCTTTAATCTCAGTATGCAGTATTAAGCAGAAACACAATTCAAACATTTAAAAATTTGAAAAGTCCCTTCCGAGAGTAATGAGGCCACGTTACCCATTCCCCATCCTCCTGACTGGTTCTAGTAATCAAAATTCATTAATAGGCAATCTCTACCTTTCTGTTCTGACTGGCATTTTAGTGAACCTCTTAAGTACACTGAAAACACTGATGAGATACATAAGAAAGTAGAAATTCAGGGTAATAACATGAATCTATGGAACCATATGGGCTTTTCTTTCTTTAGAAAAATCCGTTTTATAAAAACTGGGACTTATTATACATTCAAATATATGAAAGTAATTTTACTTTGTTATATTAAATTATTTTAAAATGTTGTACTTATTCTGTTCCTAATAATAAAGAAAATTTTTAAGCCTGATTTAATAATTATTTTAAACTGTTAAACACATGTAACAGATTTCAAGTATTCTAATTTAAGGTAAATAGCTATATACCACTGAATCTTTTTTTTGCTTAATGGATAATCTGAAATTTAAACTAGAGATAAGTCTAACCTGTGTTTACTTCCAACATGAGATCCCATTTTCTAGTTCCTTTCAATTATGTCACAGTTAAAGAATCACTAGTTTCAGACATTAACTTCTCTTTCTATTCACATTAAAGTTACTGTGATTGATGTCTCAGTCAACATAGGCACATATTTATTTTTTACCCAACTGCACACCAGCTTACCTATGCTCCATTATTTTGCTTCTGGGTATATCCTTCCAGAACTGTGCCAGTTCTGCTGCCCCTGTACCACAAGGCTGTTCCATTTCTGCAGCCATTATTAGAAAACGATCTTGAGGGGAAATTGTGAAACCTTCAGTCCCAAATAATTCAGCACAGCAATGAGGGAAAAAGAAAGGCCAAAAAAAAAAAAGGCAGAAGAGGAAGGACAAAAGAAAAACAAGGAGGTAGGTAAAGAAAGAAAAGAGGGAAAAATGTCACTTGCATGTCTGAATTAAGACACTTTTTTACTTTTCAAATTATTTTAGTAGCAGAACCCCCTGATTTAATCTTTTGATTGTAAGTTACAATTTTAGAACAATTATAAAAGGAAAAAGAAGAAAAGAAATGCTGATTTAATAAGAAAAAGGTTCTTTTAAAAATGAAAGATTCAGATTTTATTGGCAGCTAGTAAAAAATACCACTTGACAGTGACTTGTTCTTACCCCCATGAAGAGACACCACTATATCTAATGATGAACCAGGGTCACAGCAACTGTTACTTGGCTTAACTCTGTATTTGTCTGGAGCCGTTGTTCTTACCTGAAACAGTAAGTGCACTTGGGTAGATTAAGAGTTCTAGCTTTACTTAAAGTCAATTTGGTCCAATACAACAAGCATTTATTAAATGCCTACTATGTACAATGCACTGTTAGGTAAAAAAAAATGATGAAACTATTCCTGCCCTGAAGGAGCTTACATTCTACAAGCGAAGACATCATATGTTCATAAGAATATGCAAAATATATAGAGAAAATACAAAGTAATTTCAGGGAAAGGAGAAAAAATAGTAACAACTGTGGATTTAAGGATAGATTCCATGTAGGAAATGGTACTTGATCTGAACCTTGAAGGAAGTGAGAGTTTCTAAAAGACAGGGGCAAGAAAAGAGAGCATTATAATCAGTGAGGCAGAAGACTGCTGGGGCACAAGAGTGGGGTATGGAATATCAAGCAGTGGCACACCAAATGTGAGATGCTTTAAAAATAATTTGAATGTGAAATGAACTAAAAACAAAAACAATGTTTAAACTAATGGTCTGCTGTTCTGGAGGGATTAGGGTGAAATGCACCTCTGATTTCACTAGTACAGTGAATTTACTACCAATGAAGGTTGGCATACTCTGGAACTTGGGAGTCTCAAGACAGCTGTCCAGAGCACTGAGAACTTGAACGGCTTACCCAGGGGTCAGAAATGGGACCTAAACCTAGCACTGTCTGACTCAACAGGTACTAGACCAAATTGCCTTTTACAGTACTTAAAAAAAAAAATCAGAAATTAAACAGAAATTAAAAAAGCAATCTTGATGGATAAGCATAAGAAGTCTTTGTTTTAAAAGAAAAATATATCAAATCCAGTGACCTAGTATTTCCCATGATCCTTGCTGAACAAACATGAGCACTTGGATTATAAAAGTACATAATATAGGAAAAGAATGATTTGATTCTATAAAACCCAGAACTACACACTCAAAAAATTCTATGTATGTTTGTTCACTAATAAACCTTAGATAACAATAATATACCTAAGATCAGCGAAGCAGTTTTAATACATATTAAATATTAAAGTTTAAAACATTAGTGCACAATAACCATAAAAGTTAAATAAACATGAATAAATATATATACATATATTAATATATCTATATCTATATATGTTATAGGTATCATGTTTATTAATGAGATAAATGCTAAATCCAAACCTTGAAAATACACACACTGAAGGATTGCACTTCTCATTCTGTAATTCCATCTGTCTTTACTGATCTGATAAATTAAATTATTAATACCGTAAGGAAAGTGATTTGCTAGTATTTTAATTTATGTTAACTTATTTAACACTTAAAGCTTAATGCTGAATATTATCTTATGATTCAATGTTAGGAGTTCTGGAGACAAAGATTACTACGGTAAGTCAAAGTCCAAATAGGATAAAAATAAGTTATAATTCTATATGTTTAAAAGTCAGAAACCTAAAATAGTGGACAGAAGACAACAGCTTTAAGAAGAGTTATGACATCCCTTAAATTTATAGATAGACTCTTATGCTGTATGTTTAATTATCATTCTTTTGAATGTTTTTTACTAAAATGATTCCTTCTCCAAAACTTGCCTGGACAGCCTTATATATACCAGATGACTTCCTTAAAATTAATTAGGGGGCAGGGGCAGCTAGGTGGCACAGTGAACAGAGAACCAGCCCTGGAGTCTGAAAGATGTGATTTCAAATCTGGCCTCAGACACTTGACAGGTACTAGCTGTGTGACCCTGGGCAAGTCACATAACTCCAAAAAAACAACAACAAAAAACAAAAATTAAAATTAATTAGACTGGTTTTATGACATTTTGTAGATTTTAAGCAATTTACCTTAAATGCAACTACGTTTTTTGTTACATTTGTGAGTACTATTAAGCACTTCTTCTCTCCAAATTCTTTGGATCCAAAATAAAGTTCTTCAGCGGGGCTGTATGTAAACAAAACAAAGATCGCTATTTAGTTTGAATAATCCTTTGTACTACACCTACTATTAATTTCAATCAAAAACAAACTAAATGTGTTTCTTTAGTACCTGTACTCAAATACAGAAATCTACTGATACAAACTTGTCAAAAAAGACAAAAAGTCATTGTCATTCTACTTTTATAAACACAATACATGTAATTTATACAGTATTAGGAATTAGCCTAGGCCAAAACACAAAATAAGAAAATTTTAATGCTGACTCACATTTATATAGCCCTATAAACTGCTTCTCTGTAAGTTTGTGAGGCAGCCCACACAAGTATAATTATCCTTCATTTTAAAATTTAAAAAAAATGAGGGTCAGAAAAGTAAAGTAACTTCCCCACAATAATAGAGATAAGGGCTAGAACTCAAACCTAAGGGATTATTTTTCAAGTTTTTTTTTTCCTTCATCATACTCTTATCTCCTAAGAAGAAAGAAAAGAACCAGGAAAAGTAGTTCATCAACCTCTTAATGTATGAATTCAAAGTATATTTAACATCTTGGAAAGTTATTTAAAAATGACCAAAACATAAATAATTAAAGAATTGACAATTACAGCTATAAGGTAATAAAAAACACTTTTACAAAACACTGAGTCTAACAGCAAATAATAATGATAATTATAAGAATAGAACGTGATCAAAATGAAAGTTTAAAATTTTGATATGGGGACAGTTCTTTATAATTAGACAAATTCAGCTTTAAAAAAAACTAAAATAAAATTTTGAGTTTAATTTGCAAGGAAGAATTCATGACAGAATGCTTACTGTTTTCAACCTAGAATTAATTTAATGATATTCTTTAATGACAACACTAAAATACAATTCAATAATACTTTTGAATTACAGTTTACTTGGTCAAATTTCATCAGGCCTCTCTGAAGGACAATATAAACCAGAATATTTTGATTCATTTAAAAAAAAAAAAACCTAAAAACTCCATTTCATCAATCATCCCAACTTAAGCTTTTGAAGATTGTTCTTTGCATCAAGTATTTCTGGGTGTCACAGTTACCAAAAAAATATTAAGAATTTTGCTTGTTTCTTTTAAAAGAATCATCTTGGTCAACTTTTGATATGATACTTCAGTTTTATCTTCAAATGGAGAGATAGCATGGATAGCATACTGGTTTTGGAGCCAGGAAGACCTGTGTTCAAGCTATACATCTGACATATATTGGCTGTGTGACCCTAGGCATGTTGCTTAAGCTCTTGGTAGTAGGTGCCAAGACTGTAAATTGCAAAGAAGGTGATGACTTGTATTGGTAGAGGGTGTTTTCTCATCCAGGAGAGTTCTCTATATCAATGAAACTACAGATTCAATTCTTATCTCCTTAACTGTATACAACTGTCCTGTATTTCACAACTCTGTTAAAATCATTTTTTAAAAATGTATGTTACAGGCTTAGATTCTTATAATCTAGCCATTGCTCAGATTCTTAAAATCTAGCCAATAGCTTACTAATGTTCAGACTCCTTAAGAGTCTGCCCAATATGATGGATGTTCTAACAAACCTTGTCTTTGGCTGAAAGAAGACTTGGGTCGAATTCTTTCGGGCAGGACCCACGTGTTGTGAAATGGGGTCCCAGCAGCCCTAACCTCTAAACCGCATCATTTTGGTGGCCCGTACAGGGAAACTGCCTAACCCCAAGTTCTTCTTCAGCCAAGACTGGAAGGTATGGAAGCTTCCCCTCCCTCCTTTCTTGCTCTGCAGTTAGGGTTGCTCTCCAAGCACCAAGGCTTGGAGGTGCTTTTTGGGCAGACAGTTAGGAGGCTGTCTCTCACTAGGCCTGATGCTCTCAGGCTCTGGATCCACTGGGTCAGTTGAAGGCCATGGACCTGGGTACACCTTCCGCAGCATAGAGGACAAGGATGAATGCCCTATCTGGAAGTGTATGCTCAATTCTGTTAATTACCTCAGCGCTAGGAAATTGGGGAAAACTGCAGTGGCTTTTTGGTTCCCTGAGGCTTACTTACTCCCTTCCCTCTGCACCTCTGAATCCTCCTTCATGGAGGTTACAAGGAAAGTTAGAACAGCTAAAAATATCTTGGCATATTCTGGAGGTTTTGTGATTGATCATTAAGGAGTTTTGGAACACCTGTATAACCTGGTACTCCCTTCCCTTGAGTCAAGAGGGTATCTGTTAACCCCTCTCACAGGAGAAGAAGTTTCACCCTTTACCCCTCACCTTTGATTTCACCCTCCCCCACCTGGGAAAGGAAGGAGGGGGGAGGGGCAGCAGCTACAGCATACATTCCCCCGCCCCAATGGCCTTGGGCCCTAGGGCAACCTTTGCCTGGAAGAATCACCCAGGTTCAGCACATCCTGCTCAAGGTAATGATGCTAGCCTCCAAACTTGGGTAAGCACGCTCTTTTAAATCTGTAGTTTTAACTGTTAATGTTGAGATGTTGATTCTCTATGTAAAGTAATTTGGAAGTGCATTTAACAAAACTGAAGTCACCTGATTGGTAATGGATTTGTTTCAAATTTCAAATTGGTGAACTTTCTGTATCAGTTATGTCATGCAACTTTTAATAATTTGGTTACCACTAAAATAATTTGGCTATTGTTGGTTATTGTTTTAATGTATAAACTAGCCAAAAAGCTTGTGTGGGTTACATATGGCTTGCTCAGAATTTGCAAGTGTATAGAAATCTTTAATGATTGGCTTTTTATACCAGGACAAATGAGATGTAAATCCTCGAAAAGTTTTTCCTGAACTGTGATTAGTGAAACTTGCTGTTTGAGGTAAAAGCTCATAGGACTTTATTTTGAATTATCTGATGGATCATAATTGATCGATAATCAATAATCCACCATCTTGAGAGAAATGACACAAGCTACTCAGAGAATGTGATACTGGTGGGAAGTCAGCATTGGGAAAAGCTGAGAGGACAATTTTAGCCTCAGTCTAAGATGGGATCCAGTTTCCCCATTATATTGCTTTGAAAGGGAATGTTACCCACTTGGCTATTTCTGAGTCTGGCTATGAGGTGGATTTGATACTGCATGGTTGGAAAACTGAATTATCTGAATCCAAACAGAGTTAAGGATGGTTTATCCTCTCAAAGTTGGGCCCTAAATCTAGTCCCTGCTTTGTATCTGGGCCCTGCAGTTTTTTTCTGTCAGATTTATGTCTTCCAGACTATGGGCCATTTCACCTACAGTTGGCAGCAAACATCAAGTACCAGCCAATGTCCCCACATCATTCCCTGGATGCAGCCTGTGCTCAGTTCCAGTCAACCTCCTTTTTGGGACCCCCTCCAGGCAGGGATAGCTTTACAGGCCCCTTGCCAGCAGGAAGCAGTTTCAGAAGCCGAGACCTTTGCCCCTTACTCCAAAAGAATTTGGGTCCCATTTGTTTGAGGGGGGAATGATAGGGTTGGGATCTGGGCCCCAGAAAGGAAAAACCCTGGACTTTCCCACATGGTCAAATCTCTGGTGTTTGCCTGATGCTATAATCCCATCAACTGGCCTTTCATTGTGGCTACTCCCAATCTCCCCTCCATTGTCTTACCTCCCTATGGCCCCTGGCCATTTCCCACACTTAATTCTAGCTAGGCTCCATTGTCCAGGTCCTAGGAGTTATGTTCACCCCAGCTTACTGGCCACTCCCACCCCGATCTTCTTAGACCCCTCTTCCCGTTACCCCAAACTACTTGGCCACTCCTAGATCGCTCCCACAGGCTTTCTGTATATAAGGTCCATCTTGTCTCCATTAAGATGCTTAGATTCTTATAATGGAGCCTCTACTCAGATCCTTAAAATCTAGCCAATAGCTTACTAATTTTCAGATTCCTTAAGAGTCTGCCCAATATGATGGATGTTCTAATAAACCTTATCTTTGGCTGAAAAAAAAAAAATGTGTCTTACACACACACACACACACACGACAAAGGGTAACTACATCTTTAAATCTTTACCTGATGTGCAATAGGACTCCTTTAAACATGCTCAATGATTTCTTTAAAGTTTTTATCTTGGAATCCACTTTATCAGACTCTTCTATTTTGGAAGTTTGTTCTACTGGGTTAATCTGTTTGAAGACAAAACCCAGTAATTACATAGAAATGGAAGGTAATAAACCTACTGACAATTAAACAGTTTATTCTATTGAAAAAAAATGGAAAAGGATGGTGTTTCTATCTAATTAAAAATTTCTAGTTGACTTTTGCATCATTATCACCATCACACCAAAAATATTTCTTGAGTGCTACTGTGTGCTAGGCTGCAAAGATACAGAAAAACTGCAAAACATGTCCACAAAAGATTTACAATCTCTAGGAACTCTCATTAAATCACACAATAGCCCCTTAAATTTAATTTAAATTAGAACATTATACTACTATCTCTTTAGCCCACTGAGAATAATCAGCTTAGGCAGAATAAAATTATATACTGTACAGCTATATTGCTTCAACAAAGCAGGCAAAAGGAAGAAAAAATTGGTGCAACTTATATGTACAACTTAATGTCAACGTCCTTAAGATATTTTCACATAATTTTTTTCCCATCTTTTATACCTAATGTCATCTTATTCTCAAAATTACCTTTCTGGGAATGACAACTTGTTCTTCACTGGAGTTTGCTTCCCCGGTTTCTTTATTATCTGTTTCTATATCTTCTTTACTTTCAGTTTCATCTTCACTGGTAATAGGTCCATTTTCACACAAAGGGGTTTGAAAATCATCATCCACTAGTGGCGGATAACTATATTTGAAAGGATCCTGAAACATAAAGAATAAAATATCAGTTATCATAAAGATGTTAGCAAGAAAAAGAAATAAATTATTTCCCCAATGGATTTAAAATGTACTTAGTCTTAAAGTGATGTTTTAGAAGTTGAATAATTTTAAAAAGCTTTTTATTATATTTCTAAATTTTAAGCTACAAAAGTCTTATGGGGAAATTATTACAGAAAATAAGAAATTTTTAAAAAGCCATGCTGTTTCTAATTTAAAGACTCAAGAAAAATGAACAAAAAGTTAAAGTATGAAGATTTTTGGATTTGCTGTTCCTTGGCTCTGATCATAAGTCAAAGTTAGCCTAGTAATTAGTAAATGATGTGAATTTGATAGAAAAAATAAGGCTTTAAAAATAGTCCCTGCATGTTTTAACTGATACTTCCAAATAAGCACATACATTGCTCCATAAAATGTTACATTTTAAAAATGTCTTTAGCACCACTAGTTACAGCTTAATATTCATATAACTTAAAACATTTAACTGACATTCCCCTGGTCTTAAGTGCCAGTCAACCAGTCATAATAGAGGAGTTGTGGGGTTATGGAAAGAGAACTAGATCTAGTGTAAGAAGATCGAGTCCTGGACCTTACACTCACTCACTGCGTTACTGGGCACAAGGTACTTTCCCCTCTCTGGGCTTCAGTTTCCTTATCTGTAAAATGAGGCATTTGGACTAGAATCAGGGGTGGGGAACCTGCAGACTTGAGGCCACATGAGGCCCTTTAGGTCCTCAAGTGTGGCACTCTGACTGAATCAAACTTCACAGAACAAATTCCCTCAATAAAAGGATTTATTCTGTAAAACTTGGACTCAGTCAAAAGGCGTCACCCAAGGACCTAGAAGGCCACATGTGGCCTCCAGGCTGCAAGTTCCCCACCCCTGCAAGATGATCTCTAATACTTCTTTCATCACTAAACCTATGACCCACTTGGCCTAAAATTTACAATTAATTTTGTTAAGGTCTGATACATTTCTTTTTGTGATGTGTATTTATCAATTATATTTTAAGAAATTCTTACTTTATGATTACTAGGTACCTATGATTTTCTTCTACACAATAATTCTATTTTCCATTGCTGAATTTTTAAGAGTCCCTCCCCTCCCCCAACTAAGGAAAAATACAAGACTTTATCTACAAATATTTTAGACTTGTCAACCACCATACTTACAGTTCCACCCATGTGTGGGGGCAAGTATTCTATGCTGACGTACTCCTGCACTTCATTTTTACCAGTAAACTTCAACATGTTCACTGCTTCTGGACCAAGCCAGCCTTTCACAATTTTAAAAGCAGCTAGAGAATATACAATAATTTCATTAAATTGTTTCTTATTTAACTTATTGCACACATCACAAAAGGCTGATCTAAGAATAGTCAATTTTTTTTCTTAAAAGATGTATTTATTAACATTTTCAGTGCTAGAAGACAGTTATACCATTACTTTACTTTACAGTTCCTAACATTCAGTAAGCCAAGTTGCCATAATCATTATTCAGTTTGCCATTTTCCCCAAGGTTGTGGATCTTGCAGAAATCCATGGTAACTTCAGCTGCTGCAGTCTCAAAGATTGGGCTCACTAATCACAAGAGTGGAATGAAATGGACAATGGTGTTAAGTAAACTGCAGTGTTTTCACTGGCACTGCTTACCCATGTGGGAGCAGCCTGTGTAGGTTAACTTCATGTCAGAACATACTCAAAGCATACCAAGACAGTATCTCAGGTGCACTGTTTTGACATCATAATCAACAAGCATTTAAGTGTCTACTATGTGTCAAGCACTATGAACAATGTGGGAACACAAGATTTCAGGCCCCAACTTCTTACCTCGGCTCTACATTTTTTCTCATCTAAGAACTCTCAGCCTGTCTTCTAGAAGTTTTATTAACCATAATTGTGGAACTCATCTAGCTGTAAGGGCAAAGAACGAGTTATCTATGAAAGGGTTGGGAAAGGTAAAAATACCATGGAACATCCACCAATGTGGGTGTTTGGTAATTCTCCTCTATAAGCTTCCATTTTGATTTAGCTAATATGGATTTTTTATTGGTCAAAACAGTCTAAAGCATATCCAGCGAGAAATAATGAAATATATAGTATATTATGAGGCGTGTGAATCTGTAACCTATCTTCTCTGAGCTCATCTTTAAAATGGTGGAAAAAAAGCTTTGTAAACCTTAGTGAATATAAATAAGGTTTACAAAGCTTTAACGTAGCATATATATTAAGGTTTCTTTATGAAGTTCTTTTTTCTTTGTATATAATTTTATTATTTTAATTTATCTTAAAATATATTTCAAAAATATACTCAAGATACGTGTATGTTACATGTATGTATCTTTAACCCATCATAGTTCAACTTGTCTCTCTCTCAATATCTTTAAAATATTTAACAAATACATCTTAAACATATTTCAAATACATATTTAAATATGTATTCAAAATATATAAATTTTAAAATACATAAATTATGTTATACTTAATATAAATATAGTTTAAAATTGGATGTAAGCTCCTTGAGGGCAGAAGGAATTTCATTTTTGTCTTTGTATTCCCAGGACCTACACCACAGTGATATGCATAAACACTTAATAAATACTTGTTGAACTGAACCAGCTTTCAACTATTATTCCATAATAGTTTTAACCAAAGTCTCAGGGGAATATTTCTGCTAATTTTACAAATTTGAAACTGAGAAGGAAAAACCACAACCACCTTTTATACCTTGGTTAAATGTGTCTTTATGATTTTTTTTCCTGCACACTACATATATAATGTATATGCATGTGTTTATATATATGTACGTATGTGTGTGTATATATATATATTTTTTTTTCATGTTATTTGGGCCTAAACTTAATATGCCCACTGACTTAACTATAACAGAACACTAATATTTATTTTAATATACAAGGTAATGATATGATTCTAAAAATTTTCATGGCATGGTAGAATGAGAATTGGGAGATGTGGAGTCCAAGGACACAGACAAATCCTAGCTCTACTACTTAGCACTTGTTGTGTGACTGTAAGCAAGTCACTTAAGTCTTAAGGCTTCACTCACTGAGAAAATAAAGTGGTTGGTTTAGATATTAGGATCAATAGCCTCTTATCCTTCAAAACCTACTGTAACTTAAAATAAGTTAGAAAACATGATGTGATACTTTTGTAACAAGTCTTTTGGGTACACCTATTGTTAAATCTATTCTAAGTATTCTGGCCCTAAAGAACTTTGGGAGAGAACAGGAATGTTTACAACTTGAGACCCAATGGCCTCCATAACTGAACCAATTTTTCTGACATTCTACAAAAAACCCTGTGGTCAGAGATTCCCTGATAAAACTCTGATGCTTGCAGACAGATGCTTCCAGGACTATCTCTGAAGTTTAGATAGATGGATAGCCCAGGAATTTCAGGAAAGGCTATTCAACATTCTACAGGGCTTTAGATTCCAAGGAAGTTCATAAAACTTATTATCACCCTATATGTGGATAAAAACAAAACATGAAGAGGGTATGTGAGGGTAAAGGGTATTTTGCTACATGAAAATTCCCAAGTAATAAAAACTCACCATTCATTATCCATGGCATATCAAAGACAACAATTTTTGCTGAAAGATAAAAGAATGAACGAATTTGATAAGGCTTAACACTTCTATAGTAAGATTAATTATCCATTTATATCTATCCTAAAAATAATTGGTCAAGAAGCTAAAACTAAAACTGGGAAGCCTGAAAATTGTATGGCCTATTAGTAGGTGAAATGTCCAATACAGATATATAGCACCAACAACACTGGCAGACCCACATGTCATAATGCTGTGATTCTAGTCCTGTCTCCTGGCAACTCTATCAACCCTCAGTCCTTCTACTACTGCTGTTGTTGTCTAAGCATGAAGAAATGTAAGAAAGGATTGAGTAGTTAGCAACCTAATGCCAACTACTGATAAATCAGTAAATGGGTGGGGAGAGAGGAGGATAGGGATATTAAAAAGAGGCATAAAGGAGGTTAGAGAATGAGGGGGAAGAGAGAGCAAGGGAGAGAAAGGGAAAAGGGGAAGAAAGTATACACAATGCTGTTTATCAGTAGTGAGGGAGAGGTGAAAATTGGTCTATTAAATTTTGTGGGCCACTGAGTTTTTTGAAAAGTGATTTCCAAATCTGAGTTATATTTTTAAAATATTTATTGAAAATAGTTGTGTTATTAAACTATACCGGTTATTTATTTTAAAATGAATATGTTCAAGCAAACAAAAATAATTACATATTTAACATTATGAACTCTAAGAAGCCTACACTTCCAAACACAAAAATATGATTTTCATTTTGAGATGAAGATATTATGCAGACTGTTACAAATGTAAAAAAGGACCAGAAAATACAAAAGAGATTTCTGGTATTATTATACTGTTAGAATTCAGACGAATAAAAATGGACCATCATTCTCCCAAGCATGCAGAGTTCCTGAAGTGCATACATGTATTACAAGTAGCAAGTAATCTGAAGACAGATCACTGTAGTTAAATCTCTCAGATAAATTTAAACTAAGTCTCAAGTTTAAGATTTTACAATTACATTTTAAGCATAGAATTCAATTAAAATTGCAACTACTTTATAAAATTATTTTAAAAAATATTATATGCTACAAAACTAAATAGTGGCTACAAAAAACCTACTTTAAAGTGAATCGAGGTAGTCAAGAAAATACAGTACATAGGAAACCTTCAAAGAAGACTATCTTAAAACTCTGATAAGATTAATATACACACACTAATTATAAATTAATCTTTCAATTTAATTCAGGTTACTGGCATTCAAATTCATTTTGCATAGGTTCTTTGCTCTTTAATGTGGTTTGGTTACTTCAAATAGCAGACAAGTATAATTATTCACAAGGTTTCCAAATTCCTTTGGAAAGCTTAAAACACTACATAAACTATTTCCACTAAAAAAAAAATCAAGAAAACAAGAGGCCAAAGAGCAAATCAACATAGCCTCACAATGACCACTGATACTGACCTACATTCCTTAATGAATTAAGTGGATAAAATGAAGTCAGGGGAAAGCTAGCACAACTTCAAAACTAAGGACTGACACTAATCAAAATGGCCTTTGGCTTAGAATGCGGAGATTACCAGTATTCTTCCTGGAAACAAAGCTGAAAGGAGTGCTCAGTAACCAGGAGATTATGTTAATCAATATAAATTCAAAAACTGAATTAGAAGGAGAAAAATATGATCATATCGAGCATTCTTCTCATCGAGTATTTCACATTAGAACAATACTCAGAGGGAAGCTGGGAATAAGTCATACCACAGCATCTGAGTTACAATACCCAAAAGAACACTGGTTATAGTGTTATACAAGGATTTATGTGGTTGGTGATTTGAGTTTTTAATTTCTTGATCTTTCCATTTCCCCTCCTTCCTTTTAAAAAAGGTCTTCCTTTTGAATTTAGCTTAAACACGTTAGCATTTAATTGTTGAAATGATATATGCAATAAATAAAACGAGAATACCTAAGTTGCTACAGATTTTTTTTTCTCTTAGGGAATTAATGGAAGTTAAAGTACAAAAAATATTATTTCTGTATACCAGATCTTCTGAGCAAGAATTTTTTGTGATATTCTGTGGTTGGGAGTAAAATGAAATTTTGTGACACGTTGTCTATTCTTTCTTCAATGTAAAAACAAATTAATTAATATTTGAAATGGATAATTTTAAAGACAGTTAACTATGATTATGTACACATGCATGGGTAGATACATTTTGTGAAGTATGCAGATATACGTATGTGGTGAATGTATAAACCATGTAGATTTACTTTTATAAAGGATAAAATTTCTTAAGAACTGTTTTGTTTTCAAATCTGTGAATGTGCTAGGAGACTTGAGTAATATTTTTCACCACAAAAATAAAAACTCCACAGGTCAAACTCTCCCTAGTGCCAAAACATCTTCTATAGCTAAAGTATATGAAGTCTATAAAAAGAAACCAATTACTTACTGAGGTATTTAGGATAATAAACTTTAAAGCAGTTGATGATGAACCGAACAATATCCATGTCCTAAAATAAAGATTACATACTTAATAAATGAAGATTTCTCCACTATAGAATTTAAATGTAACCCGTCAGAAGAAAATGGATGTGCTGACCACAAATGAAAAAATTTAATTCTGAGCTATCATTAGATACTTCAGAAAGTGAGTTGGTGTTGGAACACAAATCTCCCCTAACTTCTTGGAGCCTGCTTCCTGTGAGGGACTCTATGTAAAGTGTGCTAAAAACTTTAAAGCTCTCTATAATATACATATAATCTCTATAATAATATATAATTGTAATATATTATAATATAATATATGATATAATAAAGCTCTCTATAATATCACTTATAATGTATATAGAAGTCAGATTTATTGCTATATCAAACTTGGCAGTGTGCACAGTAGGTTGTGCCACCCTGAACAAGTCTCTTTAGTTCTCTCAACTGTAAAATGAAAAGTTCGGGCCACGCTAGCCCTAGAGGTCTATGATGTTATATGTATGTGCATTCCCTAGGAGCTCCATCTGTCCTAAATTGCACTGTGGTGGGAATTGTGATATTTAACTCTGAGATATGAAAGAAACACCATATCCTAATATATATGTAAATGAATCCTGGATTAATAGTGGTATATGAAACTATTATTTTTGTAAAGTTAGGATTTTCCTATAGTGAGTTGCTTTTAATTGGAATATACAATATAGAGAATTTAGATTAAAAATAAATTACAATTAATCATAACAAAGTACTTTCATAGCCAATAATCATCTCGATTTGACCTAAAACTAAGTATCTCTGCCTTACATTTTACCATAAGTAAAAGTAAGGTTCTAGAAATAACTATTAGCTATCCTGCCTATATCTTAACAGTGAAAACATAAGAATCCATACATTCATCACAAACTTATCAAGTTTTACTTGTCTACCAAAATAAAATAATGTGGTACATGAAAGTTTTTGATAAACTTTACACTACATACTGAAAAGAAAATCCCAATCTAACCCTTAAAATTCAAACTCCATTAAATGTAAAAGGCATGTGATTAAATCAAAATGTGTTCATATGACATTTTCTTGGATTGAGATCTATGGGAGTGATAAGACCACATCTTTGGCATTAGTTATGATGAAAAATCATATGTTTATCTTAATATTAAAATGAGCAATTCTAGCTCTGGAACTTAGCATCTGTATATCCTTGAATCACATAAAATGTATTAAATGTCACATAATACTTAAAACACTTGAGATTTTAAAGACAGAATATTTTACTAGTTGAAAGATCCTAACAGTATTTATTGATATTGGAGAAAAATTCCTGAGACTGCAATTCCCCACATTAAATGACCTGAAATGATGTGAGACTTAAAAACAAGACTGATTTTTAAACTTCATTTATGCAATCATCTATGCCCCGCCAAAAGAAGAACAAAAAAAGTGTAACAGCAACCCTCTTACTCTCTTGTGCTGATGTAGCCCTCAAATGCTATAAAAGGAGTTGAAATGTCTTATACCATTAATAGTTTTCTCAAGACAGCAAATAACTTAAAAATGATGAAATACAGGTGAAGCTTGGCTGATAAAAGATAATACTACCATCTAATAAAACCTAATTCTCATCCCTCAGTCTTCAATGATTAGGTATGAAACAATGACATTTTTCTTGCACCTGATTTCAAAATGAAAAATTTAAAATATAAAATAGGCAAATGCACAATAATGTCTTCAAACACCATAAAACTACAGATTTTAAATAATATTTATTTAACCTCCCCAAATTGACACCTATGCCAATGTTAATCTATTTATATCATTTAATTTTACTCTGAAACTTATCTTTCTTATGCCCAATCTAGAATGATCAACCTAGGTGGTCAAGGAAATATAGCACATAAGAAACTTTTAAAGAAGACTATCTTAAAACTCCTTTAAGATTAAAATATGAGAAACAAAAACTAAAATATATCAGATGATCTCAGCTGCCTCTAGGGCATATGGGGGTATGTAGAAAGCTCTAAGGCAACAAAAGACCAAATCTGAGACTTGTTGGCTATACATTAAATAAATAAGCACCAGCACCTAGAGAAAAGCTCATAAGCAAAGCCAACCCAAAAGAATTTATGTAGAACTCCTGTCAAGTAGCCAAAGACAATATGGACAATTTCCTACTATTAAAGTTTGCCTGGAGAAAAGTAAATTTATATCACAACAAAAGGAAGATATTATCCTTTGGTATACAAAGTCTTTTTATTTTTTCTGAACCTTATCTCTACCTACCATGTTGATTGGTTAAATATCATTACTATTAGTAGAGGTATTTTACTCTTGAGTATAGCAGCCAAGCAAGAAGACCAAATCTACTTTATATTATAAATGTCCTATGTTTTTGTGAAAATCATAAAAAAAGAAATAAAATAAATCTTTTGCTCTTATATGGTAAGCTTTCCTATGAAGTCTACCACTTTAATCCAAAATAATGAAACAATATAACAGGGAATTTAATCACTTAGGTATAAATTGGAATCATAATTTTTGAGAAATCACAGCTTAAGGTGAATCTACTCAGTACTGTATGACAGCTGTTACTGGGAGTGTGGGGTAAGTAAAGGAGAGCTTTCCCCTTTACAGCCATAAACTTTACTACATTAGTGCTGATTACTGGAAAAGAAGAAAATCCCTAAACATCATGAAATAGACCAATTATCCTGAAAGTTAAAATTATAACATCAATGAAAACACTTACTATGTTACTCAGTCCAGTTTCTGACATGTCAAACATCACTGTTAAGGGCTTTCCATTCTCTCTTTTGGCATAACGTTCTAGCCAGAAGGCTACAAGCTTCTTTTTGTCCAAAATTGTTTTATTGTCTTTTGTATGAAACTTGACTCTGAACCAGACTTGAACCAGAAGAAAAAGTAGAAAAAAATTGTAGAAACATTAAAATTTTCCAAATGCAAAAAGATCATGATTAATATCATTAATATTCCTTGACATATTGCTTTCTATTTCATTTTTTCCAGAGATGAAGAAGATGATTGCCTTCTAGTGAAGGTAGTATAGTATAAAAACACTATAAAACAAAGAAAAGTCAACCGAAAAGTATTAAGAGGTAAAGTCAATATTGCCATAGGAAATTAATGAATTGCTTCAGTACATTAAAAAAAAAAAACTTCAGATAATTCTGTTTTAATAAGCTTGGGTAAGTTTTTATAACATAAATAGGTACATACTTCTCACCCACTGGTAACTGGAATTCTAACAAACGTTCTAACAAGCACTGCTATTTCAGTAATGTTCTTCCAAATAATGTTTCACTGATGTCAAGCTACAACCTCTCTAACATTGTGTTTGCCACAGAGATTATTAAAAGCAAACACTAAATCACTGAATAACAAAATACATATTCTCAGATTTTATTTGCCAGAAAAACTGGTTGAGAATCACCTTGATAACAGCAGAGTACTAGGAACGTTAGGTGATACAACTCACAACTAAAACGATCCTGAAATGCAAAAAACAAAAAAAACCAAAACAAAACAAAAAAAAACAAAGAAAAAAACAGATAGTATTTAATGGGGATAAAATATAAAATTGAATTATACAAGGACAGAATAAAGGCAACGTGATAGGTAACAGTTCACTTAAGAAAAAAATAAAAGCTATAGTTTTTAGTGGTTTGCAACTTCAGAAAGGGCATCAACAGTGTGATGTGGTGTGGCTGCCAGAACTTTTGATGTTCAAAAGCCAAAAAAGTGAGATAGAAATTCACATATACTTACATAATTTGTTGCCCTCTTTGTCATACCCATGTAGATATACAGCACCAACCTCAAATAGCCATTTGGGAAGAGTGGATTCACTCAGGTCTAAAAATTAAAATATTTTGATAATTATCAGTGGTTGTACTTTAGGGGCCTGCCTAAGTAAAATAGAAAACTTACAAGACAGAGATAATTTTATAAAACAGCTTGAATAAACCTCAGTAATCTTATTCAAACTTATAGTGCTTTGCACATAGTAAGCACTTAATAAATGCTTTTTTCATTCATTCATGCAAATTGCAAAGATAAAAAAATCAAAAATTTATACTTGGACTAAAATCTTTCAATTACTTAAAGATGATGGAAATGCCTAAGGCAGACTTCCAGAGTCTTCAGGATATTACCAATGACAACTTGTATGTATGCAGAAAAGACATCATTTCAGAGGCATATCATTAGAAAAGGAGGTGAGCTGTTATGGTAAGAGATAAGAAAAGGGTAGGCCATATACTATATTAGTATATTTAACAAGTAATGTAAAATTACCTAAGGAAAGGCTTTCACATCATGTTGCATAGACCCACTATGGATGTCTCTCATGAAAAGTCTACACTAGGAAAGAGTTTGATAAGAAACTGAAGTTTTCTTTCCCCCTTTCAGGCTAAATTGTTCAAAAACTAATCTAAATACTACACATACCTCAGATTGCTGCAGTTTAAATATGGGCAAATTCTATTAATCCACATGTGGCTATTTCTTTTTAAAAAGTGTTACTCAAGTGATCTATCAAGTTGATAGATATCAGTATCTAGTTATCTATACAAATTGAGTACTTGAATATAATACAATATTATCATACCATTAAAACCATGCGAAGAATTATAGGAACTGATCCATTAAAATCCAGGAAAACTATTAACACGACTCCAACAATGTAAACAGAAGGAACATTAATATGAAACTAAATGCTATCTAGTAATAATCAAGCTTGGACTTAGAAGAGTTGCTAAAATGCACCTCCCTCCTTTCACTGGAGAGGTAGGAGAATACCTGCATGGAATATTGCATGCATTGTCAGATGGTTGACATGGTTGGTGTTGATAAACTATCTCTTTTTAAATTTTTCTTATAAGCAATGGCTCATTAGGTAGAGGAAGGAAAAGGGGTATGTTTAGAAACAAATATATCCAACATTGTTTCTATTTTTTGTCATCTTCACCAGTTTACTGGGTAAGGTAAAATAGAGTTGTTTTGATTTGTATTTCTCTTATTATTAGTTATTTGGAACAATCTTTCATACAGTTGTTCACAGTCTGCAATTTTTCTTTTTAAAATTATTCATATTCTTTGACTACATATCTTTTGGAGAATGGTGGTTAGACTGTTTTGTTTCTTCTTACATATCTGAGATTGATCTGAGATACTCATTTTAAAGATATTTCCCCCCAAGGATCACTCCTCTTCTTATTCTTGCTATACTAGTTTTGTTCCTGTAAAAGCTTTTAAATTTTATGTAGCTAAAGTAGTTTATTCTATCTTTTATAACCTCTATCTCTCCTTTGGTGAAGAATTCACCCCAAGCCATGATTTCACAAGGTACTTCCTTCCATTTCTTCTCTAACTATTTATACAGAAGGCAAGTATTCATTTGCAATTTATTGTGGTATACAGTATAGTGCTGCTTTATGCAACGGCACAATTGTGACCTTCAAATCATGAAAAATAAAAATAAGAGCAGCCAGAATATAGTTCTTATAAGAACTGAAACAGTTTATAATAATAATAAGTATAATTATATTATATTATAATAATTATATTATTGCATATTACATATATTATGTATATTATATTGTATAGTATTGTATAATGTATTGTATAGTATATTATATACTATCATATAATATATAACATTATATCATGTATAATAATGTAATTACAATATAATAAATATAATAATAAACTTATAATAAGTGAAAACCACTATTTTCTCTAGCAAGACATATCACTTTATGTCAGAGTATTTTCTTAAAATTTTTAAAGTCAGTCACACATTTTATAAAGTTGGTCTTAACAAAATCATCTTTTAAAACCCTGCATACTTCAAAACCAAAGTCTTATTGCGATGTCCTAGTTTAGTCCAATCACCAGGAGTCATCTCTTATTCTATTCAATACCCTTCCCTTCTGCCTCAAGTCTCTACTAGGGTTACTCCATCTGCTCTAGCCCACCTTTTATTGGCATTCCTACATTTCCAACACTTAGCTCAGTCTTGTGCTAACAAAGTATGCCTCCTTGTCTGGCACATTGGGTAGAAGGGGAAGGGCATTATCTATTTTAAAATTCCAGCTTAAATTCCAGTTTAAAAATAAGAATTAAAACTATCCATACATTATTACCTTGGATCAAGTGGAAACTACTTATTAAACTAATAGGAGGCAAATTTGTAATGGAATCAAGAGCTGAGATAACCTGTGGCACCAAGGATGGATAGTGGGGAGAAAATGGTTTGAAGACAGCAATCTAACAAATGTAAAAACTTCTATCTGATTTACTCGTCATTTTCCAAGAACTTGTGAAATTTTCTGCTTTGTGTTATTATGATATTAATCTATATGAAACATATTTCTGATCTGAATGAAAAGACTGATTCCAATTCAACCTACAGCTAAGTGATCACTATATAAGTGATAACTATAAATTAATATTATGACTGCCTCTCAATGCTTGATAACTTTAAAAAGGCTTCCAAATACTTTATTGTTTTTTTAGAACCTACCTCTAATTTCTTAGAGTTGCAATCAGAATGCTTTTGAAATGCTTAGTTCTCCTAGACCCATGAAGCTTTATATTTGAGTGAAGTTGTAGGGAAAAAAAAACCCCAAAAAACTTGATGTTGATTTTATGTGGGTAAACATTAGCTTTGTATTTTAATTAGCCCTCTTTCCAAGTAAATTGACACTTTACTTTCCAAGTAAATTGACACTTT